CGCCCGCCCTCCGCCGCCGCCGCCGGGCAGCGCGTCCCCGCCCCGCCCCGCCCCGCCCCGCCCCTTTACGTCACCGCCCCGGGGCCCCGGGCGGGGCGGGAGGGAGGTTTCCAAGGAGGGCGCGCCCCCTAGTGGCGCGAGGCGGCCTCGCAGCCGCCGGCGTTCCCAGGATCTCCGCCCCCCGGGGGCCAGGGGAGACCCCAGGAAGTTGTGTGGTGTAACCTGCACTTCTCCCTTTTTTATCTTTTCCATTTACGAAAACCACCGTTACAGTACAAGCAACTGGGTTGCGGCCTAACGTTCCTGGCCTCCTTAACGGTCTTTTTGCAAAATAATAATAATAATAATAATAATAATAATAAAAAGGAGGAATCTGGTGCTCAAAATGCAAAAATAACTCCCCCTTGCCCAGCCCTCCGTCGTCGTCGTGTCCCCCACCCCCACCCCCCGCCGGAGATCGCCCAGGCCGATGTCAGTATAAAAATGAGCGGGTCATGCTGCTTCTGCAGTGGTTGCTGCGCTGATGAGGAGCACCGTGTTTTACAATAAAGTTTCGTTTTCTCTAAGCAAAATATTCTGGAAGACTCAAGACCTCCCTCTGAACTTCCTCTCTCAGGTCTCATACCTGAGTGTTGCTGTCGAAAGGGCAGTCGTCCCTGTGACAGGTGGCTCGCGCGTGGAACTGGATTTACAGACAAGTTATTTCCTTTTCCTGCCATTAAAAATTTTCATTTATCTATTTCCATGAGCAACTATCTTGAAAATTACATACGTATGTTCTTAATCCACTACTAATCTAAAAATCTATAGCAAACACCGTATGTTCTCGGTCTGCCTGATCTAAATTTTCACACCTTGGTAGCACTGTCTATTCCCTAGGATATTTGTTCCCTCTCCCACATGCCACCCCATTCCTGTAACAACTGTCAGGAGGTGAATCCCAGGAAGATGACTGGAGCTATTAGGATAAAGGCAGTATTTAAATCAGCGATGGATTACACAATAAATTGTGTTCTGATAGTGGAGAGAGAGGCTTAGAACTCTCACACTGTCAAAATTCAAGCCCAGAATAATAAATAAAATCATAACAACTACAAGAAATATGTTCGTTTGTTTTTTAAGAAAACTGATCTCAGAATGGTCTATCTCATTTTTTTAATTTTAAGAATTTACTTGAGCAAAATCATTTGGAGTCTGGGAGAAACTTTGTAAACAAAAAAAGCAAAGAAGGAAACCATAAGAGAAAGATTGGTAGGTCTGGCTATTTAAAAATTTAGATTTTATGAAAGTAAAAAATTAAAAATTAAAAAAAAAAAGCCTAAACAATTTGTAAAGTCAAGCTGATGAAAAAAGATAAAAATTAGCAAAGGACATGAATAGCAAATTTCACACACAAACAAAGAAAGAAATATAAGTGGCTAATAAAAACATGGAAGAAGTTCAAACTTACTAGTAAGAAAGAAATCAAATTAAGAAAATAAGCTGTAAATATTTTAAAAGAATGAGAACTTTCAGTGAGGATGAAAGAGCTGAGAAATAGACATTCTACCATAGGACTAGAAGGAGTGTAACTTGAAACAACTTTTTAAAGCATCATCTGCATCAAAAATCTTTAAAATATTCATAGCTTTGGTATGATAATTCCACTTTTAGATTTAAGCCTATAAATATGTACCAAAAATTAGATGTTTAAAATTATTGTACAAAACTGTTCGTGAAGATGTTATTTATAGTAGAAAAAGCAAAAACACCCTAAATGCCCAACAACAAGGAATTAATTAAATAACCTGTAATACATGCATATAATAAAATACTATGTACCCTTCAAAAATCACATTTTAAAGGCAACTGATTGTGAAGTGTTTATAAAAAGTCAAGTTACAAAGTAATAAATATATAGAGTATAAGCCTTACTTGTTTTCATTTAAATGTGCATTCATGCTTACATTCATTAAAGAAAGGTTGAAAAAAATGTGTCAAAATGTTAAAAATTATAAAGGTGATTGATTGGATTAAGGATGATTTTCTTTGCACATGTCTTCTTTGTAAAAAAAAATGTACTTTGAACATGTATTGCTTTTGAATAAAAAAAATATTATTTTTGAGAAGATATGTATAGTTTTAAAAGTTTTCTTATAAAAGCATTCAGGATAACAGTCCATATTCCTGAGTATTACACAATGCTTTCATGATAGCTCTGTCTATCTGTGCGGGTTCTGCTGCAAATAAACGGAAACTCTTCTATGCTGGCCACACTGAGTTAATTTCAGTTCCCTGAACTAACCCTAGTCTCTCTCCTCTATTCCTTCGCATTGCAGTGTCCCATGCCTGCAGAGGACAGCTGATGACAGCAGTATATCAGCAATAATAAGAGGTTCTTGTTATCTTGTTTCTGAAAGACTGTGAGAGTTTGGGAAGATGATTGCCTGGGGCCCCTTGCTCAGTTCCAGTGGACACCTGAGCAAAAGGGCTCAGCAGCTTTGCAGATGAGTTTGTTATTTCTGTGAATTTAAAGGAAACTCGAAAACTGAGAAGTTTCCCTAATCCAAGATATAAATAACTACAGCCTTAAAATCTGCTTTCAGGCCGAGGCTGTTTTGGCTCAGTGGTAGAGCGTCTATCTGCGGACTGAAAGGTCCCAGGTTCGATTCCGGTCAGGGGCATGTACATTGGTTGCAGGCACATCACCGGTGGGGGATAGGGGGTGCAGGAGGCAGCTGGTCGATGTTTCTCTCTCATTGATGTTTCTAGCTTTCTATCCCTCTCTCCTCCTCTCTGTAAAAAAAAATCAATAAAATATATATTTTTTAAATCTGCTTAAGGGCTAGAAAAGAGAGGAAGGAAGGAGGGAGGGATGGAGAGAGAAGAACTCAACACATCTTGGATGGAGATGACAGCGGGGGTAAGGCAGGAAAAAACCGCTATGAAGCTTGCCCATTTAGCCTATTCCACTCTATTCGCTCTGTATTTTGAAATTCATGTTTTTCTTGTGGGAAGCAATTTACATTACTTTGACTGTTTTTATTAATTTCAATAAATGTTTATTTCCTAACTGTTATTTGGAAATCATTATGCTGGGCAGTTCATTCATTTAGCCCATAAATAATACTATTCAGTGGTTTCTGTATGCCAGGCTATAAGCTTGATGCTAAGTATTAGAAATATGGAAACAATTAAAATACATTACCTGCCCCCAAGTATTTCATAGTGCTGAGTGAATCAGAGTAATGTATGACTTAGACCTCAGCATGCTAAGGAACAGTTGTGATAAACATTGGGAGCAATTAACTAGAGTTCAAGAGAAAGTTTTATAAAGAAGATATTTAAAATACAGTTTGAAAGTTGAGTGACCAACAAAGGGACAACATGGAGATAAGGATGGAAGTGTGGGCATTTCATACAAGGAAGGGAGAATTATATGTGTCTATACTAGTACAGTGTGCTTAGAAGTGTGAAACAGCCGGGACCGGTTTGGCTCAGTGGATAGAGCGTCGGCCTGCGGACTGAGGGGTCCCGGGTTCGATTCCAGGCAAGTGCATGTGCCTGGTTGCGGGCACATCCCCAGTGGGGGGTGTGCAAGAGGCAGTTGATCGATGATTCTCTCTCATCGATGTTTCTAACTCTCTATCCTTCTCTCTTCCTCTCTGTAAAAAATCAATAAAATATGTTTAAAAAAAAAAAGAAGTGTGAAACAGTATAGTCAGAGGTTGCAAGTAATCTAATAAGCAAATACCAACCATATGTTCTTTTGTTTGTTTGTTTTTTCATCCAAGAAGACTGAACCTGAAAACCAGTCAGAGATGGCTGGACATGAACCTGAGGTCTCTGTGGAGCTACTGAAAGCCTGCAAGGAAGATAATGAATGGCAGAACAAAAGCTGTGTCATAACATGAGTGGTCTTGAAATGGCTGCTCTACCCCAGACACCTCAGTTCTTTTCAATTAGGTTACAAAACTCAGTATTCTCCTTTAGTGGATTTTCTCATTCATCCCTCTATATCCAAGCAGTCATCAATCCACGTTAATTTTTCCTTCAAAATTAGCCTTTCTTGCCATAACCGGTTTGGCTTGGTGGATGGAGTGTTGGCCTGTGGACTGAAAGTCCCGGGTTTGATTCCAGTCAAGGGCATGTATCTTGGTTGCGGGCACATCCCCAGTAGAGGGTGTGCAGGAGGCAGCTGATCGATGATTCTCTCTCATCAATGTTTCTAACTCTCTATCCTTCTCTCTTCCTCTCTGGAAAATATATATAATTTTTTTTTAAATTAGCCTTTCTTGCCCTGCCAGGATGGTTCAGTGGTTGAGCATCAACCTATGAACCTGCAGGTCATGGTTTGATTCCTAGTCAGGACACATGCCTGGGTTGCGGGCTCAGTCCCCAGTAGGGGACATGCAGGAGGCAGCCGATGGATGGTTCTTTCTCATCATTGCTGTTTCTATTTCTCTCTCCTTCTCCCTTCCTCTCTGAAATCGATTATATATATATATATATATATATATATATATATATATATAATTTTTTAAATAGCCTTATCTTCTATTATCAGGGTCAACACCTACACATTCTTGGATAACTGCAAAACCTTCCTGGTGAATCTAGCTTATTTGTGTTTGCAAATCTAGCACCTAACAGACTTCTGGCACATGGCAGGCAATCAATAAATAAGGCAACGCTCAACTGGGGATGGGAGAACATTTTCTTTGAAATCAATTACATATATATTAAAAAGGAATACATGGGAGGGTAGGGAAACTTAACGTTGAAAAACCGCAGAACTTAATCTCCATAAAGTGTTTACTACCTAGTAGCCTGGAAAACAGTAAAGTATGTTAGCTCCCAAAGCCAGGGGGCCCCAGAGAGCCCCCCAAGTTATTGTAAACAGAGGCTGCAGAGGCCGTTCCCAGGTGGAGCTGGTCTGAAGGATGGAGCTCAGCCGCAGCCCACTCCTACCTGGGAAGCTGTGCTTGACCCCGCCCCTTCCCAGAACGCGGCCCTGTGATTGGCCATGACGCGTCCCAGCGCTGGCCAATCGCGTACCCGCTGCCGCGGCGTCCTCTCGCTGAGGAGAGAAACATGGCGGACCGGCTCACGCAGCTGCAGGACGCCGTCAACTCGGTGAGCGATTTCACTCGGTTCATCTCCGTCTTCCCCTTTTCCAGGCAAAGCGAGGGAGGGGAAGGGGCTCGAGACGCGGCACTGGGACGGCTCCTGCCGAAAGCGGCGGGCGGCGGCGGTCTCCGCGGCGGGGTGGGGGCGGGGGTGGGGGTGGGGGTGGGGGTGGGGGTGGGCGGCGCGGTCCCTTCCCGCTGGGAAGGGGGTGGTCTCCGTACCGGCCTCTCGGACTTCCCGGTCCGTCCCAGTCTCTGGGAACAGATGATTTTGTCGGTGATGCTCATACCCTGTTTCCCCGAAAGTAAGACCGTGTCTTATATTAATTTTTGCTCCCAAAGATGCGCCAGGTCTTATTTTCAGGGGATGTCTTATTTTTCCATGAAGGAGAATACGGTACACATTTATTGTTAAATGAAAATAAAGGAAATTTATTACCTGTATACGGTACGGTAGTTGTCAACACAAACCAGACAAACTGTGAATCCTACAGTATCAAGAATTTACTCATTTATTCAATGACAATCATGTCATCATCTTCTGGAACATTATCCTAACAATCCAATTCCTGAATTTCCTGGTGAATTTCTTGTGACTCCATTTCTTTCAGAATCAGTGGACCAAATCTCTCATGTTTAGCCTGGGGCGGGGGGGCTTATATTTCACTCAGAAGGAAACCTGTAAGTAGGTCTTATTTTCGGGGAAACACGGTAGGAACTCTTCTGGTTCGGTAGGAGAGGAGGAGTGGCAGCAGCTCTTCCCCCGGCCAATCAATGAGAACCTGTGCTTTTGGTGATGGGATCAGTAGCCGATAGCCCAGTTCATCCTTTGCCACAACGTTCATGTTGGGCGGGAGTGATGGGGAGGTGAGAAGTTTTGTTTCATCTTAGTTGGTGCCTATATATAGACCAAGGATCTCACCCCATGTCTTGGCCTCTCTCCAAGCATAAAACAGTTTTTGGGGAAAGTGACATCTTTTTTTAATATTTTAAAATACATTTTTATTGATTTCAGAGAGGAAGGGAGAGGGAGAGAGAGAAACATCAATGATGAGAATCATTGATTGCCTGCCTCCTGCACGCCCCCCACTGCGGGAGGGGGTGTGTGTGTCAAGCTCGCAACCCAGGCCTGTGCCCTTGACCAGAATCGAACCTGGGACCTTTCAGTCCACAGTGGATGCTCTGCCCACTGAGCCAAACCGGCCAGGGCGGAAATGACATCTTAAAGTAGAATTTTTCTATTCCTCGTATATTTCCATTCATTTAAGTTTTCTTTAGTATCTCCCAAAAAGTTGACCTCCTATTGAAGGGCATATCTTATCTTGCAGAGAGCCCCCCTTCCCCTTACTTTCATCCTTCTGATTATTGTTCCTGTTACGCCCAAGTGGAACATCTGTGCAAACCATAGGACTCATGTACTTATTACCATTAATCGTTAGTTTTCTATTGACAGTTATATTTCTCATTGTCGTTCTGTTTATAATTGGATGTCCCAGGTCAGATTCTATGGAAAGAGAGAGAATGTGTTGATTGGAAAGCGCAAGTACCTGGTCCCTTGCCAGTGTTTTCATATACGTTGCTAAGAAGTTGACATTCTTGTTGCATCAGCTTTTGTGCATCTGCTTGTGAGAGACTCATCTACTCCGTGTGTGTGTGTGTGTGTGTGTGTGTGTGTGTGTGTAAAGGAAGACCCTTTGAGGTGGAGAGGACCAGCCCTTAAATGTTGATGAATTCACCAAGATAAATTCTCCCTAGTGGTGACCTTCCTGGCCAGACAGCCTCCCTCCAGGAGATACTCCTTTGAGGTTTTACAAAATCCAGTCATAAAGATGCTTTGGATAGCAATGATATTTAGGGAAATGTTCCATATTTATACCTGTCTTGTAGCCAGAAGGAGAGCGAAAACAAAGTTAATATGGCCTTAACTCCAGGGTTGCCATGCTGGTTATTGGATTTTGGAGAGAAACCTTTAGGTTTAGTAGTATTGAGTGCCTATAATATATATAAGCACTTATATTTACAGAGAGATGCTCCTTAAGGAGTTTACAGTCTGGTTAGAAAGATGTATACGCAAGAGACATTTTAAATAATGCAAAAGCAGTATGCGGTTAGGGAGGTATAATGAATGGAGTGCTTTAGCTGTAAGTGCTGAAGTAAATTGGAATATAGAGTAAATTCCCTAAAATAGAGGGAATCTTCTTAGCATTCATCTGAATTGTAATTATTTGTAAAATTATTAAAATATTTTTATTTTTTAATGAGTTTTATATGTCTGTAATTTTATAAAAATGTTAAGCTTGTTATTTCAAAAATTCATTCATAATCCCACCAAGATAACATTTGCTTTACACTCTAAGAACTCTTTAAGGGCAGAAACTCTCAAAGATACTAGTTCTTTGTATCTTTGTCATGTTTATACATATACAGTACATGTCATAAAATTTATCTATGATAACATTGTTGAATAAATAGATCTGAGAGCTTTTGAAGCACAGAACAGATAGCCACTGTGTTGAATATTTTTTGTGTTTTCTCTATTACTCATAACAATGCTGTAATGTGATAATGTTACAGATTAAATTTTTTTTTTAATATATTTTATTGATTTTTGTACAGAGAGGAAGGGAGAGAGATATAGAGTCAGAAACATCAATGAGAGAGAGTCATCGATCAGCTGCCTCTTGCACACCCCCTACTGGGGATACGCCGGCAACCAAGGTACATGCCCTTGACCGGAATCGAACCCGGGGCCCCTCAGTCCCCAAGCCGACGCTCTATCCACTGAGCCAAACCGGTCCCGGCCAGATTAAAAAATTTTAAAAAACACTAACCAAATTGCTAGAACCAGAATTAGAATCCATGTTTGTACAGTTTCTGAGCACTTACTACTGCTCTATTACATTTGTAATATGTAATAATGTGAGCAGAAGCAGCGTAGTCAGGTCTATATGAAGGAGCAGTAGAGAAATGAATAAGTATAATTGACTTGGATTATTGAAAGCTTTGAAACAGCCTGAAGAATTGGAGATTTATCTTGAAGCCCATGCTGGGTGAGCTCAAAATGCTTAAGCGGGGCAAAATTACATGGTGAACTAGAAAGCAGTAAGAAGGCTATTGTAACAATTCTGGTGGGAGGTAATTGGTTGAACTAACACAGCAGCAGTGATGAGAGAAGAAAAGAGCAAGGTTGGCAGTATTAGCAGGATGTGAAGATGAAGAAAGGATAGGACGAACCTGAAGTTGTACTGGTTGACTAGGAGAATCGCAATACAAATGACATGTTAAAGGAAGCAATTGACATTGAGTTCTGTCATTCAAATAATGGCAGAGAAATTTAGTGAAAATGCTTATTCACAGATTGAAAATAAGGAATTGAGATTTGAGAGGTCAGGACTTTGAATAGAAGTTGGTGGGGAGGCAGGAGTTTGAGCTGGTAAAGAATTAGTATTCTAAATCTTCAAAACTGCTTATGGAATAGTTTTAGGGCACCAGGAGTTTGAAAACTGGAGTCATGAAGAAAAACAGTTCCAAATATTTAGGTACTAGCTTTTCCTCACCATTTCTTTAGATTTGTAACTACACTGATCTCAAAAAAAGGATCAATACTTGTCCATGAGTTGCACATACTATTTTATTTACCTTGGAGCTATACTTCGATATTTGCCAGTCACATTTGCTTTTTCCCACTACTCCCCCAAAAAAGTTGTTTCTTGTAACAAGTATTGGCATGTATTTCTCTTACCATTTTATTACCTTGGGAAGAAAAGAAAAATTATTTTGTATTTCTTTTTAGCTGTTTCAAGTAGATTGCTACTAAACATAATTTCTTTGAATGGTCAAAACATTTAATTGCTGTTAATAACTGGCTAATTTCATCCAAAATTACTTCTGTCATTTTATTCCCTTGCTCGGAGAACATTATTATAGAAACTTATTGTTTCTATAAAATCCTTAAGTTTGATCAGTCCTTCCTAACTTTGACGTGCTACCTTTGGCTTCAAGCTTGCAGATCAGTTTTGTAATGCCATTGGAGTGTTGCAGCAGTGTGGTCCTCCGGCCTCTTTCAGTAACATTCAGACGGCGATTAATAAAGATCAGCCAGCGAATCCTACAGAAGGTACGTCGTTTTCTTGGCTTCTCTTAAGTTTGAATCTCATATTACTTATAATCTTTTAAAATTAGTTTTATTGAGAAATGTGGCTTATTTGTGGCTTTCAAAAATATTGTTGTGTGAGAATATTGTAAGCTTGTCATAAAGGAAATTAGTTTGTTATAATCAATTTGACATACCACATAATTCTGTTTATGTCAAATAACATTGTCATTAGAGGAAAAGTTGCATGAATTGAACTGAATTTTACTTCTGGGTTTTTGGGGTTTTTTTAGAGGTCAACTTTATTTTTGTTTGTATTTTTGTTGATCCTCACCTGAGGAATTTAGAGAAAATAGAAGGGAGGGGGAGAGACACATCAATTGGTTTGCTCCTGTACGCACCCCAATCAGAGCCGGGGATTGAGTTTGCAACCAAAGTACGTGCCCTTGACCAGAATTGAATCCCAAATCCTTCAGTCCAGAGGGGTGCTGATGCTCTATCCAATGAGCCAATCTGCAAGGGCACTTCTGGGATCTTAGGAAGGCATCCCACTTACAGATTTCTTTATTCAAGTGACCACCATATTGCCCTAATAAGGAATCTATATTATGGTTAATTCCCAATTAGAGTTAATATTGAGTAATTCTTAAACATGTAATAGTTCTGATGTGTTAAAATTACACTTTAGTCATTAGAAGCCTAGTATAGAAAAGTTAATATATTAAGTTTTCTGGTCTCATTAACTTAATATTTAGTTTCTGTTTCTGAAAACTTAAGTTTCTCTAATATCCTAAATTAGTAGTGTCTTTCCCTAGAATATGCCCAGCTTTTTGCTGCACTGATTGCACGAACAGCAAAAGACATTGATGTTTTGATAGATTCCTTGCCAAGTGAAGAATCTACAGCTGCTTTACAGGTAAAAATCTCTTTTCCTTTGAGTACTTTGCTAATAGGGAATTCTGAATTAAATGAGATAGATTTAATATCATTTGTTGTAATATTTAAAGTTTAAGATTGAATTTTAAAGTGGGAGTTTCATTCATTGTAGATTAGTGTAGTCTGTTAAAGACTTCACTCAATACCCTATATAATAAAAGCCTAACATGCAAATTGACTGAACAGCAGAATGACCAGTTGCTATGACCTGCACTCTCCACCAGGGGGCAAATGCTTAATGCAGGAGCAGCCCCAACCCTGCAGGCCTCAGGCCAGCCAAAGTGGGTGCCTCCAATTGCCCCTCTGGTCGCCCCACAGATCAGCCCTGTGGGACCTTACCCATGCACGAATTTTGTGCGCTGGGCCTCTAGTGTATATATAGTTTTCCAATTTTGAGTTATAAGTACTCTTCTTATTTTCTCAGTTTGGCTCTTTACTATACCTAGCAAAGAATGAGAGGAGGATGGCATTCTGGATGTGAAATAGAATAGTAGTGTTCAAAAACAGTGTGGAAGGGAGTCATATAGACATCCAGAGATCTCTAATCAAAGTTTATTGTTTTAAATAATTCACACAAGGAAAACTTTTAATAGTTCCCTGATTTTAGAATTTTTGCCATTGAAAGCTCCATTACAATGCCTGCATAGTCATTCAGATTTAAAAGTAAATATTTCTGCAATTTCTTTCTCAGCTCTTAATAATCTCCAAATTTTTAATTTCTCAAAAGATTTTTCAATTTGTGTCTTCTAAAGGCTGCAAGCTTGTATAAGCTAGAAGAAGAAAACCACGAGGCGGCTACATGTCTGGAGGATGTTGTTTATCGAGGGGACATGCTTCTAGAAAAGATACAAAGTGCACTTGCTGACATTGCGCAGTCACAGCTGAAGACAAGAAGTGGTACCCACAGCCAGTCTCTTCCAGACTCATAGTGCCCATGTATGCCATGTGGCTGCGAAAGAACTGTTTCAGTGCCATTAAGAATTCTGTATCAGATTTAGATGTAATCCTTACCAACAGTTACAAAAACATTAAGCACTATACCATGTTATCTTTTTCGCTATTTTTAATAGTCTTCTATTTTCACTCTTGATAAATTAGCTTGTAAAATTGTGATTGAATCAGCTTTAAACCATCATATCATTTTTTACTTTCTAAGTGAAATTTAGGCAGCTATTGCATTGATGATTATAATTTAATTAAACAGCTGTCCTATGAAATTCTGTTGTGACATAATGTCTATCTTTATTTTTATCTTTAAATAAATAAAAACATCCCTCAAGCCAAAGTGCAGCATATGGGACATTTCAATTTAGATGCGTGTCCTTCTGCCTCTTTAGAGGCCACATTGTAGAAATTTGGAGCTTGAGCAAGGAACGTGTGAAACTCCATAGCTTTTAAGAAACACAGGATTATTGTGGCTGGACAAGGTGTGGCTGGTCACTTTTGTGGAAACGCCTCTTTTTCCAGAACCTCATACACACACACTAGTTGATCATACTTGTTTCTCTATGGAATTCCCATGCTATTGTGAAATTTTTTCTTCATTCTGAACTACTTTTTTCCTGTAACTTTTCACCTGCTTCTTTTCATTCTTTCCCTTCATTTCAGCCGTGAAGTATGTTTCCTGAGTCATCGATTAATTCCTATTCTTTTTATTTACCTGAAGGTAAATTCTATCTTCTGATCTTGGTAAATTCTCAGCCTTTATTGCTGCATTGTAATCTAACCAGAACACGCTTCCACTCCATCGATTACTTCAATATGACTTTCTCTATTGCACCTTAGTTTGTTATTGCTAACATTTGTGTCAGCATTATCAAGTATGATTACTCATCCAGCTCTTGGGTCTTCTTAAATCTACTGATTCCATAGAAAGCTCGAGTTAAAATTTAACAGCTTTGCTGAAACCGGTTTGGCTCAGTGGGTAGAGCGTTGGTCTGCGGACTGAGGGGTCTCAGGTTCGATTCCGGTCAAGGGCATGTGCCTTGGTTGCGGGCACGTCCCCGGTGGGGTGTGTGCAGGGGGCGGCTGGTTGATGTTTCTCTCTCATCGATGTTTCTAACTCTCTATCCCTCTTTCTTCCTCTGTAAAAAATCAATAAAATATATATATTTTTAAAATTAACAGCTTCTATCTCCCGAGGCTGCATTTTTTTAGGATATTCTGAGATACATTTCCTATAGTCTGTTACTTATCCAGAGTTTAAGAAAGAACAAGAACATTAGAGATTCTCTCTGTTATTCCTATCATCATCAAGCTCTGCCACAGTTCTTGAAAAATGTTGGTTAGAGGAACTTTTAACTTCTATAATATAATTTATAGAATCATTGACTTTTAAAATTATGTAAAATGTTATCTATACTAATAGATACTTAAAATGTATGGCTTATTCTCTTTGACATCACTTAAAATGTTATCTATACTAATAGATACTTAAAATGTATGGCTTATTCTCTTTGACATCACTTAAAATGCATTTTATTTTTAAACACTGGCATGAAGTTTCTAGATAAAGAACCACAAAAGAAAGTAATCTTCAAAATACTGAGCTCTATTCAATACAATTAGCCCCAAGAGATAAGTAGCAAAAGTCGTAGCCTTAAGCTGGTAGCTTGGCTACTGTTAAAATATTACCCCTACCTGAAAGAAATTTTTTATATTTGATATTGTCCCCTCAGTTTCAGGTATTCTAGAACAAAACCCATAAAGGTTATATACAACAGCTTCTGGTATCCACAGTCTTGTGGACATGTTTATTGGATCAAGAGATTCTCAAAGCTAAAAACATATGTATAGGCAATGATGATCTTACTGCCTAGGAAACAGCTTTGGGAAGACCAAAAAAATGTTCTTATCTTTCATGCCCTGATTTACCTCTCTCTTCCCTTTTACCCAGATCTAAATTGTTTTGAGAATTAGCAGACAGGCTGGGTAGCTCAATTGTTTGGAGCGTTATCCCATACACCAAAAGTTTGGGGGTTTGATCCCCAGTCAGGGCACATACCTAGGTTGTGGGTTTGATCCCCAGTCGGGGTGTGTATAGGAGGCAACCGATCGATGTTTCTCTCTCATATCAATGTTTTTCTCCCTCTTCTCTCTAAAATCGGTAGAAAAGCCTGGACAGTATGGCTCAGTGGTGAATGTTAACCTATGCACCAGGAGGTCACAAGTTTGATTGCCAATGAGGGCACTTGCCTGGGGTTGTGGCTTGATCTCCAGTTGTGGGGTAGGGGGAGGTGCGGGAGATAGCCCATCGATGTTGATGTTCCTTTCTTATCAATGTATCTATATCAATAAAATAAAAAAAATTAGGCCCAGCCTGTCTGACTAAGTGGATAGAGCATTAGCCTGCGGACTGAAGAGTCCCTGGTTCGATTCCAGTCAGGGGCAAGTGTCCAAGTTGTGAGCTCAATCCCCAGTGGGAGGTGTACAGGAGGCAGCCCATCAGTGATTCTCTCTCATTGATATTCCTCTCCCTTCCTCTCTGAAATCATTAAAAATAAATTTGAAAAAAAAAACACACATTTAAAGATAGATATAATCAGTAGGAAATATCCTTAGGTGAGGATTAAAAAAAATTAATAGACATTTGGTCCTGCCCAGAAGATCCACAGAGACATTTGATCCATGCCAACAGTCCCTTGATGTTTGGTATTATTCAGAACATCCATGAGCATATTTGGTCTGTGCTGAATGATCCTTAATAATTGGTCCTGTCCAAACATCCATACTTAGAAAAGTTCCCTGGGTTTAAATGGCCCATAACAGTTATTTGTACTTTTTGCTTCAGGATTAACATATTAAAAAATACCATTGTTTTATTGAGCCAATAATTTTGTCTGCTTTGCCAATAATAGCTCTCTTGCTTCAGAAGCTAGTAATGGAACAGGCATTAGGTAGATGGATTGGATGGACCAAATATCACCATGGACATTTTGGACACTACCATATATCAAAGAACTTTGGGCGTAGACCAGATGTCTCTATGGACCTTTGGACAGGACCAAATGTTCTGCAAGGGTATGAGGGAGGAAAAATCTTAGAGGTGGGGCCATTGTCTCTGTCTTCCCAAAGGACCACAGACCCTGTGCCCTGTTGGAACTTTGTGGAGCCCTCAGGGAAACAAGGGGTACAAACTATGGCTTTGCTGGATGTAGATACCTTAGTTACTATTATACTTGGTCCAGTGGGGAGAAGGGGCACCTGAGTTCAACTCGAGATCTAGGCAAAATGACGCGGGAGGGAGGGAGATAAATATAACATTATGGCCAGGTCCTTGAGGCTTATCTGATGCACTGTGGCCATGGCTTCTACTGTGACTATATTATTGGGATAGACCTCCTGTACAATTGTAATTCTCCCCCACACAAATGCCAGCGAGCACATTCCCACTCAGAACGTAATGCTGAGAGGTAGTAGTGTGACATAAACAATCCCCTACCCATCTCCCTGTCCATTGCATATGGAGTGCCTGGCCCCTGACAACTTACTTGAACCCTGTGTTCCTGGAAAACTAACAGTTAAACCCTCCAACCTACTCTACGGCAAACTACCCTTCCCTCTGTGACTAAAATATCTGTGCATTACCCCTTTCTTTACAGACCCAGACCCTCCAAATCCCACTCTTTATCTCATAAATAATTTACTGTCCCACAGACCGGTCTGGATAAAATGTCCTCTAACTTGACCAAACTTTAGGCTTCCCCATAGACCCTTATAGTGGAATGTGGAATAGTTCCCCTTCAATGACCTCTCTTGAAAATGTACTACAAATAAAAAGACATTTCCCTATCAGTTGTGCCACTATGCCATCTGCTCATCTTCACACTCAGATTTTTCTGGCCTTGTTTACTTCTTAGAAATATCCCACTCTGGCTGGTAGGCTCTATTGGTGAGAGCGTTGTCTTGTGCACCAAAGGGTTCACAGGTTGGTTCCCAGTTGGGGAGCTTATGGGAGGCAACCAATTAATGTTTCTTTCTCTTGTCAATGTTCTCCCTCTCCTCTCTGGGATTAATGAAAAACATATCCTCGGGTAAGGATTTTTTAAAAAGTCTCTTTCCACCTCATCTTTGAGATTTGAGATGCTTGCAAAATCCTATGATCAGAGCATTCTTTCTATTGTTATAGTCTTCCTGCCCCTATTTCAATAGTTCCTTTCTCCCAATTGCAATAGTTTCTCTAATAGTCTTGGATAAAATTCATAACCTAATGAAAATAAAACTGCTGGCATTGCGCTAAGACAGCATAGCAGAAAATGCAAGTATTCTCTTGTTTATATTAGAAAAAATGAAGTTTAAATTTTCAACTGAAAGAAGGAAGGAAGGAAATAAAGCTAACAAAAGAAATTAAGAAGAAAACCTTACTGTGAAAGAATTAGGAAAGCCTGAAGTTGGGGATTCAAAATGAGTAATAAAATTGACCACTTAGACAAGCTTAATCAAGCATAAAAGAAAGATGGCATAAATAAACAATATGAAGAATTAAAATGTCATATGCATGATTTTAAAATAAACTTTTTGCCAATATTTGAAAATTTTGATCAAAAGGATATAGGTATTTCTAGAAATAACAAATAGGATCAAGAATAGAATATAGCTGAAACCGGTTTGGCTCAGTGGATAGAGCGTCGGCCTGCAGACTGAAGAGTCCCAGGTTCGATTCCAGTCAAGGGCATGTACCTTGGTTGCGGGCACATCCCCGGTGTGGGGTGTGCAGGAGGCAGCTGGTCGATGTTTCTCTCTCATCGATGTTTCTGGCTCTCTGTCCTTCTCCCTTCCTCTGTGTGAAAAATCAATAAAATATATTTTAAAAAATAGAATATATATAAATCATGATCCTTCTTTAACCTTTAAAGAAATTCAATCAATAGTGAAAATTCTTCCCAAATAAAGTGCCAAGCCTAGATAAGTTTAGTAGTTTTACTGAATTTTCAGAAAAAATTCCAATTTTACACAAAATTGATAAAACTCATCAAAATTTAAGATTACAATCTCATGAACATGCAAAAATTATTAGCAAGTTATAGCCATTTTATGGAAAGAAGAGTCAATATTTTAAAATGTGTTAGTTTTCCTCAATAGGTGCATAGATTTAACATAATTTTAAATTTCCAAATAGGACTTCTATGGAAATTGGCAAGTTGCTTCTAAAATTTATTCAGAAATACTAAGTTTCAATAGAAACCAAGATACTCCTGAGGAAAAAACGATAGAGCTTGCCTTTAATGGTA